GGGGGGTCCTTAAAGTTTGGTTCCAAGTCTGTTTGTGCATGTGTGCAGGAAGGCTAATTACATTGTGCACAGCCCGGGATGACCTTCGCTGACCACACTCGATTGCGAGGAGAACGAGGAGGAGGAGGAGGAGAGGGGTGGGGGGATGAAGAATAGTCCTGCAACAAAAGGAGGAAAAAACGGAGCATGCATTCTTTGGGGGGATCTTGCAGTTTGTTGCACTTTACGAGGGTGAGATGGGGTGGGGGGGGGGATATTTTCTTGCTTGCGGTTACTTTACCTCGGAAACAGTTTTGCACCCGACTTGACTTCATATGGTGTGCTATTAATGGGCTAACTGGGAAAATTGCTGAATTGATCAAGGAATGATCAACTGATCGCTTGAAATAATCCGAGTGGCAAAGGGGCCCAATTGGAGGAACCATTTTTGCCCGCCACAACGATGCATCTGGCCCCGAGCGCCTCCTCAAAAAATTCCAACCCCTTTTGTCGTCTCCTCCATTGTGTTCCGACAACGCCTATTCAAATGTGGACGTTGGTGGGCAACGCCAACATCTGTCTTCCTTGTGGACATATGCAAAAAACGCTCGGACGAGCCATTGTCGATCCTTTGGAGGGACCCTGCGTCTTCATTTCAGTTTCCCTCCAAATCGATCCGGCCAATTAGAAGCGGTGGTGGCGGGGAGGGGAGAGTCGCCCCGAAAAAGCTAAAGACAGCGGTGAACCTCTGTCTGACCCCCTCAATCCCCCACCACACCCAGCCGGGCTCAAACAAGTACGAGAGCGTCTCAACATTTGATCGAAACCAGCGCTAATATGCACCGCGTGCTCCTTTCAATCTGGCAGCAATTAACTTCTTTGAAACCTCACCAGAAACTTCCTGCGCAGTTGTTTGCACGTTTTCTTTTTTCTTCAGTTATTCCCAATCTGAAAAAAAAAATGTGGACTGCGCGGCAGCGACGTTGTGTGAAGAACCACTTAAAAGACTCGGCCCTGTTTACTTTTCAGCTAAACTGCTCCCGCGTGTGCTTTGGATGCAGAGGAATGTCGGCATCAAACGAAAAAAAGCTCGCGTCTCCTCCACACACACACGACAGTACACCATATCTTTATTTGTTTTGCTTTGTTTGTACAGTCGTAAATATTTCATACCCAGAAGATGAATTTTGACCTAAGATGAATTTTATTTGGGAAATGTTTGCTGGTAAGTGACTCGAAAAGATCCAAAAAAATGTCACGTTAAAATCTACTACAAAGACTCGTCTTTCATTTGGTGGAATCTGTGTGGACACAAAAACAACACACAATATTCTGTGAGCCTCGAACGATCAGCCGCGATCTTTTTGTGTCAAGAAATTCTCCATTTTGGACACCTGCAGTCTGCCTGGTCCCATCATTCTGCAAATGGACTGTCCCGGGGGGCACGCAGCTGTGACCTCTGAACCCCAGACGTTATAATTAAGTTATATATAGAGCTGACGGATGCATAAAAGTGGCAAAAAAAAAGTCAAAGGGTAGAGCAGCGAAGGGGCATGACAGGGAAAAGTGGTTTTGAGTGATCTGTGTCGGAAAAAGGATGAGGAAAGTCCATGTCAATGTACAATGGAGACATTTTCGATTTTTAGGTGCATTTGTTTTTGTTGTTTTCAAATACACCACAATGATTTAAAAACATATCGCGGGGTGGGATCCCAATGGAAAAGATCAAAATGCACATGTGAGTATTGTGACAGTGCAGCTAAGTGATCTATTACATGTTTGGAAAAGCATTAGGGAGCGTTCTCATGGCGTCTCTGCGCGTTTCCAGCTGCGTTTGCCATCCAGCCTTTCTGTTTATCTGCTGTCTTGTATTCACTTCCCCGCTGGGCTTGATACGAAAGCCCCCCACCCCACCCCACCCCCTGCAACACACACACACACACAACTTGGGACGAGAGGGTGAAAGAAAAAAAACTAAAGAAAAGATATTTACTGTCAAACAAACAAACGCGCATCAGGATCCTGAGAAAGCGCAATGAGAAAGTAGGTGTCATTTTTCACATGTGAGTCTCACAGTGGGGGGGCTTGGGGAGTAAATATCAGCAAAAACAAGAGGTGACAGTAAATCATAAGTCTTCATCTTCGACTTTCAAGCAAATCCCTCTGCGAGGTTCATTGGCTTTCCCATGACCAAAGCAAGCAGGCCAAAAAAAAAAAAGACGCGAAACAGGCAGTCAAGGTTTGCCGCCAGTGTGCAGGAATGCTGATTATCGGCGCGCCGCGACAAGATCTCATTACCAGCAGATAGATAGATGACTCAGTGCTGGAAAACAAACAGCAGCCATGCCAGATCAGATGGATTAGCGCTTAGGTGCCATGGGAAGCTCACCGACAGTCATGGGAAACGCGGAGGCCGTGCTCGTCGTGTTTGCATTGAACACCTTCAAAGCACGCAACCTGTGTGCACGGAAATCTTGCACAAGAATCCACTTGAATTGATAGAATTATATACCTGTACATACGCATATAAACAATTCATTTTATTACATGGGACCTTATGGGGCCTGATTTCAGGACAGTGGGGGCCCGTATGTGTCCTGCGGGCCACCCTTTTCCCACCCATGCTCTTTTGAGTGCCAAACTTCCCACCATGATTCTTTGGGAATGTTTCAGCGAGAAGACGCGCTCAGGGAAAGTTAACACACATGTCGAGGTCCAATAAACACTGTTGACACCACACTGTTACTACATCCTCCGCATGTTTGCGCTCACACACACATACATACACACACACTGGAATCCAAAACACTGTGCAAATACACAAACGTCTCACACTTGAACGCCAAATCTCGTACGCGTACAGCGACGCTGTTTGAAGACGTTGCCATTGGCGGCCAGGTGAGATTGAAAGCTGCACAAGTCGACCGTGGCGGGAATCTGCTACAGTGTTGCAGTCTGCGTGTGTGTGTGTGTGTGTGTGTGTGTGTGTGTGTGTGTGTGTGTGTGTGTGTCACAGAGTGGAGTCAAAGGCAACATTGTTCTAGGACACCGAGTAGAAAAGACACCGAAACTAACCTTTCATTCGATTCGACACTGTAGCTAGCAGAATCTATAATCATGATTATTATTGTTGTTGTCATTAATGGTCAAATTAAATGATGACTTTAAGATGAATGACTTTCATTCATTTTCTACATGTTATTTTTTTGTCTTCTACAACTGGGACTTTTTTAATGATAAAAATGCATTGAGTAACACTTAACTATTATCACAAATGTAGTTCATCGCCGAGTTTTGACATGAATGGATTTATTTTTCCAGCCCCATGTCTGTGCTGTTTTGAAACGGCCCGCAGGAAACACAAAGCTCCGTCCCGCTGGAGACAAAAAAGCAGCTGGATTTCTGCACGTGCCTTTGTACCCAGCTCGACGGCCTTGTCATAACTCCATCCCTCGGGCTTTGAGTTTCATCACGCACTTTGATGCCCAAAAGTCAGTCACTCAGCGAGATGGATGCACAAAAGAACATTTCATTTGTTTCTAAATACCTCGGCATGAAGGCGAAGGCGGAGCAGGAAGGAAGGTCACATGGATCAGAGGATGACCAATCGCCAACGCTGTTGCACTTATCTGAAAATAAGATTAGCGTTATTGAACTGGGAGAGGGGCTTTCGTTTGCTTTATTGGATTTTCAAATCGGAGCGTAAAATAACAAACAGAAAGCGTCATCAAGGGTGGCGGGCATACCTTGACACAGGTTATCAATAAGTCCCTGTTTGTCGGTGTAAAATGTGAAAAGCTATTTTGTGTCAACTGAAAATGTGTGGAAAACCCTACCTTGTCAGCACATTGATTTGCAATAACTCAACAACGGATGATGACGTGAATTCTAAGTAATACAACTGCACTATGCATCACTTAATGGCTGCTTGCTTTAAAAATCAAATGTGGCCCTCGGGAACAAAAAAAAAATGTGCCCATTCCTGCATTGTGTATGCCCCTTTTCAAAATACAAGCTCTTGAATAGCATAACGCCGATGATTAAAATAAGTGGCATCAGTTGCGTTAACTGAGAATAAAAAAGAAGGAGAAAAAAAAAAAGCTAAACATTTACATAGAATTGGGGGAGGAGGAGGAGGAAGACTAGACAGACTGCTCACATTGTCTCACTTGGCTGTATATGCACTGTGGGGGCCAAGACAATGGAGAATTGTAACATACTTGTGCACTGTCACTCTTTCTTCAGGTCACCCCCCACCCCTAGTCCCTAGTCCTAAATCCCACCACCTCCAAACTCCACCCGTCCCCCTCCCACTTGTGAGAGTGGTTTAAAGTTTCCTGCCTCGGTCTCTGATTGGTGGCTCCAAGTTTCTTTAGGGGGAATAAACTTTGGAGCTTGACTCAGTGTGGAGCAGACAGACAGGCGGTCGGGGTCAGGCAGTCAGGAGACACATTCTCTTATCTGAGGAGGATGCAACACTATGGCTGCAAAGTCAGAGAACACTAGATTGGTTTTATAAAGGAGCTCATATTTGGATTATTTTATCTTTTTTTTTGTTTTGTTTTGTTTTTTTCAAGTTTGCATCACTTATATTTGAAGATGCATCTTTTGGGGATTTACACCATTTGGATTTTATTCCGTGCAGCCCTGTGCAACTATTCTGAGGATCAGTGCAGTTGGAGAGGCAGGCAAGTATTTCATACGGCAGTTTAGTGTTGACATTTTTTGTCAAATATTTTGAATTGCATCAGAGCTACGGGTGGTCGGTTCAGAGGCATACAGGTTGCAGGACGGCGCTCGTCTGCCCACATGTTGAGACGTGTCGGCCATTAAGGGCAATCTAAATGTTTTCAAGTCCTCGGTGTGGTGGAGGGGCTTGACGACAGGGGGCCTGCGGGGGTCCAGACACACAGAAGACTGAGGGGATTAATTATGAACACACACAATGCATGCACCTCAGGACTAGGAATTATATTCCCACTGTTATAGTTTGGGAAAAGGGGACTGTTCATGTATGTTGAGAGCAAGGCTGTGCTTCACAAATTTGCCAACAGGTGGCGCTTTCCCTCAGTCGTTTTTCATTAAGATTCCTGTCAATGTGAACACATGTGGTGACTTAATATGGTGTTGCAATTTGACACCTCACAGTTATTCCACCAGCAAATTTTGGCTTATAAAAACATATTAACTCTCTCAAACATGTCAAAGGTGACATTTTGGATGATGACAACGTACGTTTTATTTGGCAGCATGGTGCATGAAAGGTTAGCATTTATGCCTGGCTGTTTTGTAGTTCCGGGTTTGAATCTAAGCTCTAAACTTCCTGTGTGGAGTTTAGACGTTCTCCCATGCTTGCAAAACATAGTTTAGCTTCGTTGAAGACTATAAATTGTTCGTAGGTGTAAATGTGTCCTCGTTGTGTCCTGAGATAAACTGGCGACCAATCCAGGGGGTACTCGGTCTCTCATCCAAAGACAGCTGGGAGAGATTCAAGCTCATGACGACAAGCAGTATCGATCAAATAATCCTCTCATTTCTACCTTGCAGTGGTTTGTCCCAGCAGCAAGGCAGCGTGGAGCAGATCTCCCTCCACTGCTCCGAGGGCACCCTGGACTGGCTGTACCCCAAAGGAGCCCTTCGTCTAACCCTCTCGCCCCGCCTGCCCTCTGTGGCTGTGGGCCCCGGGGGCGGCGGCGGCAGCTCGGGCCTCATCACGGCCTGCGTCAAGCCCTCGGAGCACTTCCACGGGGCCCAGCTCTACCCGTCCAACCAGATCAGTACTGTTGGTGAGTTGTTCAAGTGGAGGCCAAAGCTGCCTTTGGAATCATTCACGCATTCTCTTCTCCTAAATCTAAGTGCACAAAAAAGGGAGAACATTTCACTTAAATTAGTCTTATATAAGGCACTGATCTCTTTTTCGGAAAGTTGTTGTTCCTTGTGCGGAGAGCAAATTGCAACAATTTTGAAACGGATTAATGGCACCCTTTTCAAAATACAAGCTCTTGAATAGCATAACGCCGATGATTAAAATAAGTGGCATCAGTTGCGTTAACTGAGAATAAAAAAGAAGGAGAAAAAAAAAAAGCTAAACATTTACATAGAATTGGGGGAGGAGGAGGAGGAAGACTAGACAGACTGCTCACATTGTCTCACTTGGCTGTATATGCACTGTGGGGGCCAAGACAATGGAGAATTGTAACATACTTGTGCACTGTCACTCTTTCTTCAGGTCACCCCCCACCCCTAGTCCCTAGTCCTAAATCCCACCACCTCCAAACTCCACCCGTCCCCCTCCCACTTGTGAGAGTGGTTTAAAGTTTCCTGCCTCGGTCTCTGATTGGTGGCTCCAAGTTTCTTTAGGGGGAATAAACTTTGGAGCTTGACTCAGTGTGGAGCAGACAGACAGGCGGTCGGGGTCAGGCAGTCAGGAGACACATTCTCTTATCTGAGGAGGATGCAACACTATGGCTGCAAAGTCAGAGAACACTAGATTGGTTTTATAAAGGAGCTCATATTTGGATTATTTTATCTTTTTTTTTGTTTTGTTTTGTTTTTTTCAAGTTTGCATCACTTATATTTGAAGATGCATCTTTTGGGGATTTACACCATTTGGATTTTATTCCGTGCAGCCCTGTGCAACTATTCTGAGGATCAGTGCAGTTGGAGAGGCAGGCAAGTATTTCATACGGCAGTTTAGTGTTGACATTTTTTGTCAAATATTTTGAATTGCATCAGAGCTACGGGTGGTCGGTTCAGAGGCATACAGGTTGCAGGACGGCGCTCGTCTGCCCACATGTTGAGACGTGTCGGCCATTAAGGGCAATCTAAATGTTTTCAAGTCCTCGGTGTGGTGGAGGGGCTTGACGACAGGGGGCCTGCGGGGGTCCAGACACACAGAAGACTGAGGGGATTAATTATGAACACACACAATGCATGCACCTCAGGACTAGGAATTATATTCCCACTGTTATAGTTTGGGAAAAGGGGACTGTTCATGTATGTTGAGAGCAAGGCTGTGCTTCACAAATTTGCCAACAGGTGGCGCTTTCCCTCAGTCGTTTTTCATTAAGATTCCTGTCAATGTGAACACATGTGGTGACTTAATATGGTGTTGCAATTTGACACCTCACAGTTATTCCACCAGCAAATTTTGGCTTATAAAAACATATTAACTCTCTCAAACATGTCAAAGGTGACATTTTGGATGATGACAACGTACGTTTTATTTGGCAGCATGGTGCATGAAAGGTTAGCATTTATGCCTGGCTGTTTTGTAGTTCCGGGTTTGAATCTAAGCTCTAAACTTCCTGTGTGGAGTTTAGACGTTCTCCCATGCTTGCAAAACATAGTTTAGCTTCGTTGAAGACTATAAATTGTTCGTAGGTGTAAATGTGTCCTCGTTGTGTCCTGAGATAAACTGGCGACCAATCCAGGGGGTACTCGGTCTCTCATCCAAAGACAGCTGGGAGAGATTCAAGCTCATGACGACAAGCAGTATCGATCAAATAATCCTCTCATTTCTACCTTGCAGTGGTTTGTCCCAGCAGCAAGGCAGCGTGGAGCAGATCTCCCTCCACTGCTCCGAGGGCACCCTGGACTGGCTGTACCCCAAAGGAGCCCTTCGTCTAACCCTCTCGCCCCGCCTGCCCTCTGTGGCTGTGGGCCCCGGGGGCGGCGGCGGCAGCTCGGGCCTCATCACGGCCTGCGTCAAGCCCTCGGAGCACTTCCACGGCGCCCAGCTCTACCTGGAGAGGGACGGCGTGCTGGAGCTGCTGGTAGGGGACCGGCCCGAGTCGTCCCCGGTTGGTGAGTTGTTCAAGTGGAGGCCAAAGCTGCCTTTGGAATCATTCACGCATTCTCTTCTCCGAAATCTAAGTGCACGAAAAAGGCAGAACATTTCACTTAAATTAGGCTTATATAAGGCACTGATCTCTTTTTAGGAAAGTTGTTGTTCCTTGTGCGGAAAGCAAATTGCAACAATTTTGAAACGGATTAATGGCATTTCCATTCATTCCAATGGCAAGGGATGATTTGCGATACAAGGGTGTGCATTGTTGCACCCCATGTGTCACTGCTTTAGCTCAAATTCCTGCATTCTGATTGGGAAATGCATGAGTCCAATTCCACAGTGATGATAAAATATATCCCCAAACCCTCATATAGGCCCTGATAGAGGAGGCCTAAGTGGGCTATTTCCATTCATTCCAATGGCAAGGGATGATTTGCGATACAAGGGTGTGCATTGTTGCACCCCATGTGTCACTGCTTTAGCTCAAATTCCTGCATTCTGATTGGGAAATGCATGAGTCCAATTCCACAGTGATGATAAAATATATCCCCAAACCCTCATATAGGCCCTGATAGAGGAGGCCTAAGTGGGCTGATTGGATTTTTCATGAGGAAGTGGCAAAACTTTCCCAAGAGTAGAGGCATGTTGGTTTGGAGTAGGAGAAGTGGGGAGTAGGCAGTGAGGAGGGGAAATGGGACGTAGGGTTTGACTAGACAGACTGCTCACATTGTCTCACTTGGCTGTATATGCACTGTGGGGGCCAAGACAATGGAGAATTGTAACATACTTGTGCACTGTCACTCTTTCTTCAGGTCACCCCCCACCCCTAGTCCCTAGTCCTAAATCCCACCACCTCCAAACTCCACCCGTCCCCCTCCCACTTGTGAGAGTGGTTTAAAGTTTCCTGCCTCGGCCTCTGATTGGTGGCTCCAAGTTTCTTTAGGGGGAATAAACTTTGGAGCTTGACTCAGTGTGGAGCAGACAGACAGGCGGTCGGGGTCAGGCAGTCAGGAGACACATTCTCTTATCTGAGGAGGATGCAACACTATGGCTGCAAAGTCAGAGAACACTAGATTGGTTTTATAAAGGAGCTCATATTTGGATTATTTTATCTTTTTTTTTGGGTGGCTCCAAGTTTCTTTAGGGGGAATAAACTTTGGAGCTTGACTCAGTGTGGAGCAGACAGACAGGCGGTCGGGGTCAGGCAGTCAGGAGACACATTCTCTTATCTGAGGAGGATGCAACACTATGGCTGCAAAGTCAGAGAACACTAGATTGGTTTTATAAAGGAGCTCATATTTGGATTATTTTATCTTTTTTTTTGTTTTGTTTTGTTTTTTTCAAGTTTGCATCACTTATATTTGAAGATGCATCTTTTGGGGATTTACACCATTTGGATTTTATTCCGTGCAGCCCTGTGCAACTATTCTGAGGATCAGTGCAGTTGGAGAGGCAGGCAAGTATTTCATACGGCAGTTTAGTGTTGACATTTTTTGTCAAATATTTTGAATTGCATCAGAGCTACGGGTGGTCGGTTCAGAGGCGTACAGGTTGCAGGACGGCGCTCGTCTGCCCACATGTTGAGACGTGTCGGCCATTAAGGGCAATCTAAATGTTTTCAAGTCCTCGGTGTGGTGGAGGGGCTTGACGACAGGGGGCCTGCGGGGGTCCAGACACACAGAAGACTGAGGGGATTAATTATGAACACACACAATGCATGCACCTCAGGACTAGGAATTATATTCCCACTGTTATAGTTTGGGAAAAGGGGACTGTTCATGTATGTTGAGAGCAAGGCTGTGCTTCACAAATTTGCCAACAGGTGGCGCTTTCCCTCAGTCGTTTTTCATTAAGATTCCTGTCAATGTGAACACATGTGGTGACTTAATATGGTGTTGCAATTTGACACCTCACAGTTATTCCACCAGCAAATTTTGGCTTATAAAAACATATTAACTCTCTCAAACATGTCAAAGGTGACATTTTGGATGATGACAACGTACGTTTTATTTGGCAGCATGGTGCATGAAAGGTTAGCATTTATGCCTGGCTGTTTTGTAGTTCCGGGTTTGAATCTAAGCTCTAAACTTCCTGTGTGGAGTTTAGACGTTCTCCCATGCTTGCAAAACATAGTTTAGCTTCGTTGAAGACTATAAATTGTTCGTAGGTGTAAATGTGTCCTCGTTGTGTCCTGAGATAAACTGGCGACCAATC